GAATGGCGAGGATGCTTGACCGGGTGCCTTCAGCTTAGCGAGTCCAGTTAAACTATCAAGGTCAGCATTCATGTCGAAAGTCGTCAAACCGTAGGCTATTGATTTTGGGGGAGTGTATGACGCTACAGCTCGAAAATCCATGGCCCAAATTGGAACTGTTTGTAGAAAAGTCGGTTAGTTAGTGCTGTTTGTACCCAGACACGCAGGTTCTTCGAACCCTGACAACCAACCACCTAGTCACGAAGCCAGCCAAAAGTGATCTCAAATAAAGCGCCAACCTTGAAGTTTAACTGAATGTTTTCGAGACAGAAACCTACGTATCCTCCAACGCAATATGACGACAGTAGTTGGATAGAATTAAATCTCCGGCTCAATTTGCTTGGATGACTCTGTTTACAATATCATGGACCCAGACAATCGCTGCACTCTGCATGACAACGTAGGATGCTAGTTCGAAAGTCCCCTCGTTCATCCCGGTATTAACTATGGTTTTGGATGCTATCCGCAGACAGAACAAATTTGTCGAACATACATGCATTTTAAACTTTATTAATCCCCAACATTCGATACCCAGTTTACTCTTACTGATGATGTGACTCACAATTGCCAGGATATTGCTCATGCTGAGTGGTTATACCCGTATTAATTTTCACTGCTGATGTGTAGCGAAATGGCTCCTATCTGATATTTGTTATCGTTAATATCCAAATAATTGCACACTCCGACAGACTATACATTGGGCAATTACTTTTCCCTTCTAAACTTTCCCAGCTTAACTGGGATCAATGGCATTCACGTATCGCCCATAAAGTGGCATGTGTTCGTATAATTCATTGTTCGAAATACATTATCATTATTCATGTTACCATCTTACCTCATGAAGACCACCTTCGAACTTACTGTCTTGACGCTTTATGCGCGATGTTGATTTTACCTAACCTACATTTCTATCTTTCTGATCATAAAAATCCTCATTATTTTTTACATCTAACTAAAGCGGCCTTACTACAGTCTATACAAAATCTTTCTTCACGGTACAGTGCTTCATACTTCATATTGTCATAAAAGAAACCAGGAAAGTGCTTCATCTTATAGTTCGGCGCTTCTTAACCTATCAGTTTCTTCGTCACTTTCACTTGACTAGATGCTACTCGGGTGGAATTAGACTTTCAGGGTATGGTCTGTGTATGTTGCTGTTTTTCTTTCCTATTTTCAAGTAAATCACTTCCCATCTCATAAATTTTCCCCACAAGTAGGTTTAGAAACCGTACGTTTTTGGGAGTAAGTGGGAGTTGGACAGGCTGTTCACTAAGCTAAGTTGGGTCAAATCAAGTAGTTCGTTGATAATGCGTAATTTATTCAGGATAATTAGCTGCATACCAGTCATTTAGCAGATCTCTAGTTAGGGACAACAAAATTGAGAAAATACTACCAGGAAATGTTACAAAAAACCGACTTTCTGTAAAGTTAACACTTTGTTTTGATAGGATGAAAAAGCCCCACAGAAGAATACCGAATAAAGCACATAATCTCATTTAGGCTGAAATGCATTTTCACAACTGAGATGGTGGATTTGTGGTCACTACTGTAGGCCATAGTGATGGGGAATATTGTTGCTCAAGGTGTAGGTCTTCAGACTGAGTTGATGCCTGGCTTTGACTGGAAAACGTTTCATTGTCGTAATAAATGTCGTCACTACTGAATCTCAACAAAGTATGAGAGACTGAAAAGACACGGGCATTTATAGCATGCTACCTTGCTTGAGTTCAGCATGACCGACCACTTTACCTATAGGTGTACACTGAACCACTTTGGTTAAAATTTTGTCTACCTCCTTTTTGGAAGGGTGCTCAACTACACCACATGCTGATTTTGTTTGAAGGATTCGATGAAGGTCGCGTTGACCTGCCTGCTTGACTAAAGTAACGAGGGTTGACTTAACCAGACAGCATGACTGATATGTAAGGGAGGTAGATGCTCTACGCCGACTTCATTCATTTGAAGCACTGATTGTACGAACTCAATAAGTGACCTAAGGGGGGATTGATGCACCCTCACCTAGGTCTTAAACCTGACTAGTTTCCTAAAGTTTGTTGTTATTGAGCCCCGATTAAGCACGAAATAACTACCAACCATAGGATCTGACACGGTAAGTTAGTGAGAGTGGCATCCGTGACTGCCACATGGGAACTCCTTTCCTTCCCTATAAACTGAAGTAACCAACCACTTAGAGCAATGTGACTAGACTAATTCTTTTTCCGACATACTAGCTCATATCCTAGTTACCCTACGCAGTAATTTTCTACTCTCATCCTTCAAAATCACTAGCACTAAACCACCAAGTCCTACCGTTTAATCTCTTTTGTAGACAATCTCCTTAACCACTGCACACTCTAAGTTAGCTCAGTTTTAGGGTGCTTTGGTCCTCAAAATGGCCCGAAGAGGTCCTATTGTATCAGTCAATTTCAACAAATTTGGATAGATCTACTGGTTTTTATTAACCTTGTAACGCATTCGAATTCTTACTGATTCACCTTCCAGCTTCGATTTCTAGACTGCCTTAACTCTCCGTTGTCCAGCTCTACCGTTTGTCAGTTACCTTTTATTATTAAGTGTAAGTATATCCCATGTACTTGCTGAGTCGTTGGCTCACCTTTCTGCTCTCTCTTTTCCCTTCCTGATTCTTGTGGTCACCACTAAACTCATACTGCCCTACGCGCCCCCTGCAACAACGTACCTATCTACAGGCTAAACGAAAACGTATCAACAGCTGGTCGTTACAACCTTTGGACGTCAACTAATAACCATTCTTACCATTGTTTCAACAACAGACTGAATTTTATGCCAAGATTCATCTTGGCGAGAACCGCTGTCACGTTCACTAATATGCACATCTGACATTCTTATATTTCAGTCGACCATGTAGGTGTAACTGTCGTTTGTATACTAAGTTCACTAAGATGAAGATACATACGTAGCCATACTAACACATTCTTGGAGAACAAGAAAAAAAGAGCAATAGTCCTCCTTAGCGATGACTTACAGCAATGTGATTTATTTGTGTTCACCGTTAACTTGCTGTCGGCAGAGGCCGAGATGGTGTTTGTTCTTGTGCTTGAAACTAGTGGTGACTAGACTTGATTATCCAAAAAAGTAGCAAGAGACAATCGCCGTTATCGGTTTGTTCTCACAGGGTTCTGTGGATGTTTCCGATTGCCTCAGCTCTTCAACTTGAGCGTTGAAGTCCCCTGCTACTTTGTCTACATCTGAACGTTCAGTCCCATTTAACGAAGTTGATAGATTTTGGTAGAATTCATCCTTTGCATCATCCGAACTGCAATCGGCTCGTGTGTGAATGAAGACCACAAACATGTATGGATAAGTGGCATGATCCCATCCAGTTCTTATAGACTTATCAGGTCTGATAGCGAGCAGTTAGCTGGCATCCGTTTGATAAGTGCTTTTTGTGTTCTACAAGATTTTGCTCTGCCTACACCAGTTAGTCCAAGACAGCTAGGCACGGAATTCCCCAACCCTTATACTATGAAGTTTGCCGACTCACTACAATGGCCAGGTAAGGTCAAAGGTGTACATATACTTGAGTTGTGCATGAATGTCTCAGAAATACTGCATGCACTCATGGTTCAAGATTCTAGAGTTTTGAAAAATGAGGCCTATTGTCGGACCTTGAGAGTTCCAGTGTGAAACGAAGTGTAGTTCTAGAGACCCAAGCGTGGTGTTTTCTGGGTTAGATAAATAGTAACTGTCATAGGACGACAAATTGATGAAACCATAAAAGGTATGATGTTGGTACCCAGAAGTGAAAGTAAGGGACGAGAGAAAGTTGAGATATGATTAGTTAGGTCTTTTATACTGATGGAAGCGTTGCTATGGACGACATAGTTTCGTTTGACCACAGAGACGAAGGGATAGGGTTGGTGGATTGGCTGGCTACACACGGCCTTATCGAAGTTTGAATTGAAATTTCTTCAAGTTACCAGTCAACAATAAAGCTCCACACCAACGGTGTAGGAAGACCAGAGGGCACATAGGAGTGTCCTTTAAGGGGGGGGGGGCTGGTATTTTTTAAAATCCTTTTCTCATAGGGAACGGGGTTGTTACATCAGCCAAAATGTGGATGACGTGAACTGCGGACAAGTCTTATCCGCAGTATTATTTCATATGAGTTAACTGGTAGCATTACTCTATAGCCCGGTTCAAGAGCTTTCGATAGACTCCCCATCTATTTATGTAGTTCGTAAATAATTGCATAATGAGTGAAATCCATTATTATGCATTACCTATAATTTGTAACTGAAATCAGTTGTTTCATTTTTATAAATTATGGTGTATTGACATCAGGTAATTTAGTTGTAGATACAGATGACTCAGACCGCCTTGAGTATATGGACAATAAACACTAAACTTTGAGTTCTGTTGTCAGCGGTTGGGAAGGCAAAACTGCACGAATCATATTGTGAGTGGATTGATTATACGTGACTGGACAAGTATATTCGAGACGAAACATGTTCAAGACCAGAGTTAGGACTGGGTCGGTAGGAAAATCACGATTAGACAAAGTTATACCAGTCAGCAATACGACTTCACCTTCAAACCCCTGTCATAGAGTAGTATATGACACTGTAATGGTGGCATCTTCTCGTCTTATTATCCAACTGACCTTTTTAATATGGTAGGACATCAAGGGGGAAAGTTCTTCACCAGCATAACTCGTAGGGTCATTATGATACGCAGGCTGTCGATAATTAATATATTTAGTCAGACGATGGGCGCTGACGAAAAAATATAAATTTATCATATACAAAGAGCATAATACAACAAAATATTTAAACTACTAAGACGTCGTAACTATAAACTGAGCGAAGGTATAATCCTTTATACGTCAAATGAAATAACCAGACTACTCTTCAAAAGAAATTAATTCATATCACACTCATCAGACGGTTGTAAGATATCCTTAAAGTAAGCTAAGGTTTTTCTCAACCTTCTTGTAAATTGATCACGGGATTCCATCCCAAATGTTTCATAGCTATGCTGATATTCGGTTGTCTACGTTGTGGATCATCGATAGGCGAAGGCTGGTAAATAATCTCACTGATACTACCTGTAAATTAGAAATATAAAAAACAACAACAACAACTGAGTAAGTAGTTAAAATAAGATAGTAAAATATTGTAAATGTATGAAGTAGGAAAATTAATTGATCCTCCGGAGAATTTTTATATACTAGGTTATAAGCTTACACTACTCATATTCTGACCAAATACAATACTCGGTCAAAGTAGGCAGAAGGAAGTAAATACCATTTGAGTGCATGCTCAATCCATCTCCACTTCTTTCTGCATAATTTGTTAAGCGATAGGTTCTTGGTTGGTTCGTTGCCAGCTAGCCACAGTGAGTTCCTTGTTGCTTATTCTTATTATTCTGGCCATCTGAGCTTCAGTAACGAGCCAGTGTAGGCGGCAGTTGTTGATGAATATCTGTAGTTTGTTGGAAATCCCTTTCGTAACGCACCAAGTTTCTGAACCATATAGAAGCACTGACTTGACGTTGGTGTTGAAAATCCGGATGTTGTTCACGCTTTATACTGAGTGTAGAAGATCTTCACACTGGCTTCAGGTTAATGAACGCTTGTCTTGCTTTTACGATCCTGGCTGCTTTGACGTCCTCGTCCGTGCCGCCTGTAGTTGTAACGGTGGGCCTACGAATCAATTATTACTGAGATTCAATTCAGAATAATTGATTATTTAAACTGTTATGCAGCGTAGATAATGTTATAAGACGATATATCATATAAATGTATATTTTTACTTGTGTAATCCCGGCGTAGTACATTAGAACAAATAACAAAATAAACAAATATTTTGTATTATTTGTATTCCATACTACATTTGTTTATTTTATTATTTGTTCTAATATACTACGCCGGGATTACACAACTAAACATACACATTGTACAATAACTCGATGCCCAAGTTGTTTCAAACCATCCAGTCCATTGTTGGTGGTCAGCATACCTTCAAACTTATAATGAAACCGACCCAGTGGCTGAATGGTTAACGTGTTCGGCGTGAAACCTGAAGGTCTTGAGTTCGACTCCTAGCCGGGTCGTAGGTGCGTACTGCTGAGGAGTCCCATGCTAGGACAAAACAGCTGTCCAGTGCTCCCAGACTGTCAACGGTTCCCCAACGGATGTCAGTCCATGATAAATACTACTTCTAAATTATAAGGTGATAGTTTAATAAAACAGATAGGAAGGTGTTTATGAGAGCTGAAGGAAATAAACTAAGAAAGATAATTTGAGAAATAATAGCTTATTAGGATGTCACTCATGTTAGGGGACAAAATAGCTTAACAGAATATGATAAAATTTTTCTAGATTAGAAAGATGAAAAGATATCTCTACAGTATGGAATTAGAAAATCAGACTGTCATGGGTAGAATGCTAATGCATTCGTGCTTCCCGAATCGAATCACTGTGGTTGTAGTAATAATACTTGATATTGTTGAGCATACGACTCGCATCGTTTGATTCTGATTGTTACTCTTTTGGGAATCTGAGAGATTTAGAGTCGAGTACCTTTTGAAAAGTTGATAGAATCCCGGTACAGAATAGAAAACGTTTCAATTAAGTGTGCTAATGGTCTTCACCACACCTTTGTTTAACCATGCTGACAGGTGTTCACCAACACGGAAAATTAAACTTCTAAACCAGCGGCCAACTTACCTAGACCATCGGGAGAAGTCGAACTGATAAACACAAAAAGAAGTGGCCAGTCTAGACAATTTATCTTTCAGTCTCGGTGTCACCACTGGGTGTGTGAAAAACGAAATTTATAATTCGCTAGCATTGAGAAGTCTCTGTGTAGTTTGTGAGTTAGTATCTCGCTAGGCACGTCACCTCTATACTGAACTGACAAGCCATTGAAATATCTTCTCTTACCATTTCCGTAGTCATATATTCCTTTATGGATTGATCAAAATAGCCATTTTATATCAGTATGTTCAACAAAGTCTCCAGTTTCTATTCAACTGTATCTTCAGTCTGTAACTTTAAGTTTTTACTAAAATTTCTTTTGAACTGAAGAGAGACGAAGCTGAGAAAATGTGTGTATTATCCTATCCACATAATCTTCGTAAACAAATTCTTTTTTATCGACACATCTGTTCCTCTTGAGAAAAGAGTATCATAAAAAGTTATCTTGCCTTCTAACTCTTCTTCACATGTAAATTTTATCCCTGAGTATACTGCGTTAAATCTACTGTGTGTCGTTGACCTGTCTATGTTGTGTTCTCACAGGATGAATATATCACTCACATATTGACAGTAAAGGGAAAATTCTTTGATCAATCGTTCAAGTAAACAATTCTCTAGTCTTGATAGAAAAAGGTTCGCTAATACGCGACAAGATGCAAAAACAAGGACAGGAAACAAATTTTTCCGAGTATAGAGAGCAATCAAGATAAGTATCAATCCAGAGCACATTAAAACGATGTACACTAAATGATATTCCACGGAAAAGCATTCAGTTTCATAAAGTATAAATGTCAAATTTAGTGTTAAGGACTGATTATTCGCCAACCTATAACGAAAATGTTCCCGAAGTTTTCATAGATAACTTAATAACCCAACTAACTGAATAAGCAATTCCTTTGAGCTGCGTAGTTACATACTACAATTTCGCGCGAAAACGTTAGTTTGATAAATAACTGAACTACACAGAGTTGTATACATAGCAGATTAACATGTCACTCACAGAGCAATAGCACAACAACGTAAACATCGATTTAACAACTTTTTTCTAAGCTAGCTCATTCCCATTGACTATTTGGTATAAGCATTTTACAAATTGGTATAACAGTACATCAATGATAACTGGCACTATAAAACGCAATAAATAATCTCCGGTTTCGTAAAGAGGGAAGTTCAATTTTTAACAAAAAAATCCTGTCGCATTGCTGGCACGTACCTGTAACGTTTATTTAGTGTTACTCATTAAACTATTCATGAGTAACTAGTATATTTAAAGTATTCCCTCTGCTTTCTTCTTATTGGCTAATTCCTGTCAAACTATTAGCGGTTATCTGATTGGATGACACAATTATTAACCCGTTGGCCAACACATTCACTTGATCATTACTGACTATAGCTTACATGCTCTTGCAGTTACACAATCATGGATGTGAGCGTAAAGTTTACGCTAACTATTATTAAATATAGAACCACCTGTCATTATTAGACTCACTGAAGTGAAAGCGGATGTGCCAGGAGGCACAAAACCTAAGAAAGTGAATCTTAGCATAATAGTTGGGTAACCTGAGTTGATAAATTTAACAAATCAATAAAAGTGAATATATATGATGGATGAACCATTTGGCTTTATTGTTCATTTCCAATCCGACTAACTGAAATAGCCATGGTTTATTATCATTACTACTATATTATGGTTTGTCCCTTGGGTTCCTAGCGGAATATAGGGCTTCAGTAGCATGTCTCCATTCCACTCTGCGGTCCTTTCAACCTAGCTCCACGTCTGCCCAGAAGCTTTCATTTCTTCCTCACACGACCTCCTCTAAGTCACCATCGGACACACAACTCGTCGTTTCACACTTGGGTTCCATTCGACGGCCTGGCCTGTCACGTGATGTCCCCAATTAACTTTCTCAGTGTATGCCCAGTCCATCTCCACTTTCTTTTGCATATCTGTTGGGCGATGGGTTCTTGGTTAGTTTGTTGGCAGGTCAGAGTGAGTTCCTCGTTGAAAATTCTTATTATTCCGGACATCTGATCTTCAGTATCAAGTGAGCGTAGGCGGCAGCTGCTGATGTATATCTGCAGTTGTTTGCTAGAAATACTTTTCGTGACGCGCCTAGTTTCTGACCCATATACAAGCACTGACCTGACATTAATGTTGAAAATCCGGATCTTATGCTTTATGCCGAGTGCAGCCGATTTCCACTATGATTTCAGATTGATGAAGGCCCGTTTTGCTTTTCCGGTTCTGGCTTTGACATCCTCATCTGTGTCATCTGTAGATGAAACGATGCTGCCCAGGTAGGTGAAAGCGACTACTTCCTTTAGGTTTCTACCGATGACAGCGATCGGTGCTTGTCGTAGATGTTGTTCGTTAGGTATCTTCATTACCTTCGTTTTCTTAACGTTCACTTACAGTTCGCTTTCCGCTGCCTTGCGTCTTCTGCCAAGTTGTTGCTTTTTGCCGGTAGACCTTCGAATTTGTGCGACATGAGACACAAAACATCGGCAAAGTCTAAACCTTCTAGGCTCTTTTCAGAGGTCCAGCCAGCGTATGCGCATCATCTCGCTATTCACAATTGTCTCGTGGATGATCCACTCCAATATAGTCGTCCACAAACAACCACACCACCACAGATAGTAGGCAACCATGTGACGCGTGACTACCTCGTGATCGTATTGACACTGACTGCCTTGTCAGGACTTCTAATACCAATCGAAATGTAATGGAATCAGAGAAGAAGGGGAGCATCATATTATCATTTTCGCTATCTCAGATAGCCATGAACATAGAAATGACACTGATGCATTCGTAAATGTTACCCATGATAAGTGTAAGCATGTCCACTATTGTCTCTGAGTCTGTTCTCAGTGCTTCTGGAGGAATTACATCTGGTCCCCCTGCTTTCCTGAATTCCGGAAACTTCATAGTGTTGAGGGCTTCACTTCTGCTTTTGTCAGACGCCTTGTCTTCACTGGTAATTCTGTAGATGATGTGTTGATGGTATTTCTCGAAGAGTTGCAGGTGGTGGTAGTAGTGGTGGTCGATTCAAGAGATTTTTGAAGTGGTCAGCTCATCGTTTCCGCTGTTTCTCCCCTTTAGTGGTAACTAAGTTTACTTCACTATCTTTCATTGGTCTCATCTGTGTTCATCTCTTCTCAGATATATAGGAACCTGGTTATTTGATATATAGTATTGTCAAGTCTCTCCTACCAACAGCCTGTTCTACTTCACTTGCAAGTGTGTCGTCGAAGTGTCTCCTGTCTTTCTGACCACTCTTCTTCACTTCTTTGTCCAGTGTAGTGTTTAATACGCTATTTTCAGTTCCCCTTTTCGTTGTTCATCCCTGCAGTGCAGTGCAGTACAGTGCACTAGTTCGTCTTCTGCTCCACTATCACCCCACCTTCCTCTCCTTCCTCTACCGGCTTCCATGTGTCTATCGAGATCGATTCCTTATCTTGCTTCCTCTTCCTTCGTAATACACTTATGCAGGTTTCTTTTCACATAGCTTTCAAAGAGTCCCAGTGTTTTTATCCACTCAGGTCTCCTCAAGGATGTTGCTCAATATCTCCCATTTCGTCTTGACGACTGACTGACTGACTGACGTGAAGATGTCCTTTGTAGTTTCGTCATTCAGTTCACTTTCTGTTCTGGGTGTTCAACGTGAACTGTGGTCGTCTATCACCAACTTGAATTTGATTTTGAAGGTAGGTTCCTTGGACTAGACAGTGACTGGTGTGAACCTACATCTGCTGAGGAGAATTCTTGGTCTGATCTTGTGTCTAGTAAGCTGCATCTCCACTTTCTTCACATTGAGAGAGATGAAGTCGATCTGATTTTTAGTGTATTGTGTCCTGGTGTGATGTGGTGTCTGGTGAAATGAAATCGATGTCACTCGATTTGCGAATATCTGTGTGCTTGTACACACTGCCTCCAATCACCAAATCGTTGAATGTGCAGAAATCTGTAAACACTTCTCTATTCTCATTCATTTCACCCAGTGCCTCTGCCTCTCCTCCACACATGATGAGTTCCCTTCCTGTGTTGTCTTCTCCCAGTTTGGCATTCATGATATCCATTAGAATTTTTTTATGTCGCTAACTAGGATGGGTTATTGTCCAGTACAGATTGAGGTGGTGTGTAGAATTCCTCCTTCTCCTCTTCATCTGCATTATTTGTAGGTGCGTAGAGTAGTATTGCATGAATTCAGTTGAACCTTGGTGTCATGATGGTGATCCTGCATGAGAGACAGTCTTCGATGCTGTTCGCGACATCATGATGGCCACTGGAAAACTCAGTGTGCTCGTGGTTGTCATGTCGTGTCGTGTCGTGTCGTGTGGGTGACAATATTGGAGTAGATTATTGACTCCTGTCCAGTTGACAGTTTTGAGAGTCCACTTGCATTCCATCTGTTTTCTCAGATTCCTATCCTGACACTCCTAAGCCATATCTTCTCATCTGTTTTACAATCTGGGCAGCTTTGCTAGCCAGCTTCAAACATTGTTCGGACATTCCATGTTCCTATGTTTACTTTTGCTTTCATCGAGAGTGAGAAGACACACTGGCCAACAGGCTTCCCGAAAGCTTTCAAAGACTGGCATCATTTCGCCTCTCCGATTCCAGTTAGGATTAGGTTTGTTTTTATTTTTATGTTTTCTTTGCGCTTCGAAGTTTCTTTAGCAGTTATATTGGTTTTACGGGGTAGGGTTGCTGGCCCAATGTCCAACCTTCCCTTTTTAACCGGGCTTAGGACTGGCTAGTAACTAGTGAACTAATTAATTAGGGGAGGTTAGCCATGGTTTAGCATACTTGTATTATAGATACTGGGTGAGGATTGAAGGTGAAATAAAAATCTGGATTGTGGCAGGATTCGAATTAGCGCTGCTAACTGGGTTACAAAGTGAAATAAAGATATAGACAGCAGTTGGGTCTTGTAGTTTAGTTAATCGAGCACCGGGAAAGTCACCTAAATGCCACCGACTAGAATCCTGATGATACTCAAATTTCCATTTAACCTTTAATCATTGCTATCCAGTATTGTTTATTTCTCAACGGAAATGACTCCAAATAATGAGAAAATTTCATAATTTTGCCGCCCCTACGGAATATTTCATGGCTAATCTCCACATTGACCATATATTGTTTACAGAGCATATATGTGAAGATATAAAGGCGATGGTGATCAAATATTCGAAACCACTTTGACTGTTCATCCTTTAATGATCGTCTTTCATAGTCATAGAGTGGGAGAGAATGCACTGTGACTTTCTAAATAAGTGATGTAGTTGACGCGCTTATCCAATGCACTCCCAGTAACTTAATGGAGTATGAATGAAGTCCACTTCTGAAGCTATGATACTTTTAGTGTGCTGCTTAAACAGCTGACCTTGAGTAATAGATTGAAAACCTATACAGCAGCTAGAATGACCTATGCACAATGACCAGATGATACGAGATTTTCAGTAATGAACACTTGATACAGTGATCAATGTGTAAATGATTCACGAACCGCAAGGTCTACATTGGCTTTCTTATAAATGAGTGGTGGTGCGGTGTCAACAAGGTTTCCGCTAGAAGTCACTCAGCCAGGAAAACAAGATGCGATCTCCGACACAAAATTATCATGAACTAGCAAAAAATACTACTAATGAACAGCTTGAGAAGTTGGACACCACTCAGGTTGACCTGAACTATTTCGTCAGGCAGTCAGATTAGAACAGTCTAAACGTAAGATGACGATTTCGTTCGTTTGGGACCGAGCTTATCAGCGATTAGCCCTAACGAATTCAGTCCATACGCTCACCCGAAAACGATAAAAATATTGGTGTTCCGATCACTCTGATCTGGTTAAGTGGAGAAATACTACAGATCAATATAAGTGGTTCTCAATTACTCAAGTTGTCCACAAGTGGTATAAATACTTCAATTATACAAATATTGTTACACATTATAAAATCTAAAGAGATATAGCATTTACTGCCTTAATTTTAAATGGATAACTTACCTGTAAAATTCTTTACCATAAGTGCTAGTTGATTCATTGTGAATTCAACAGGATTTCCTAGATTCACAGGCGTTGTATAATTAGATTCCATTAAGCGTACAAGACCATCGACAAGATCACTAATGTATTGAAACGACCGTGTTTGTTCGCCAGTACCATAAATCTAAATTGAAAACAACAAAAAAATAATCAATTGTACAGGAAGTTAATAGGGAATTACTTCTCACATAAAGAGATATACACCATCATTTCCGGGCATGAGGACAGATATCTAATGACGGCTTCGGATGAAATTCATATATATATATATATATATATATATATATATATATATATATATATATATATATATATATATATCGCGAATTGGCAGAAGTAGGAAAAAGTAGACCATTGGATACCAACAAAGAGACTTAATTGTAATTGAAACCTTAAGGCATTGAGTCCGAACCCCTGGTAGGGTAAGGTCCTTACTGAGGAATTCCATATTGGGACGAAATAACTGTTAAGTGCTTCTAGGTTTTTCAGCTAATGCCAGTTCGTAATGAATACCAACTTGAACTATTTAGAATCGTTTTCAAAACAAAACAGTGGAACCTACTTTCTTACCATTTTTGAAGTGTATTGCACAAAGTTCCCAGTTCTTCTCAACTGTATCTTCCACACATATAGCTTTTATTCTGTAACTTAAAGAGGAACATTTACTTCTTTTGAGTACAATTCGGGCTGCTTCGTACTGATTGCTACTGTTTTTGCAGTCTGAAGGATTCATAGCAGGGTGACCATTGAAAAGTTGATAGAATCCCGGTACAGAATAGAAAACGTTTTAATTAAGTGTGCTAATGGTCTTCACCACACCTTTGTTTAACCATGCTGACAGGTGTTCACCAACAAGGAAAATTAAGCTTCTAAACCAGCAACCGACTAACCTAGACCATCGGGAGAAGTCGAACTGATAAACACAAAAAGAAGTGGCCAGTCTAGACAATTCATCTTTCAGTCTCGGTGTCACTACTGGGTGTGTGAAAAACGAAATTTGCAATTTAGTAGCATTAAAAGTTTTCTGAATTGATCTGCCTCCAGACACCTTTAAGTCGAAGCTAGAAAACATATCCACGAACAGAGTGATCAGTCAGCTAGAACTTTATAAGCAATACGTAGATGATACCTTCACCACCTCCAATAATACAGATAATCTAGAAGATAATCTGCATTACTTTAACAACTGTCTCCCTGCATTCAAGTTCAGTTTATAGAAAGAATTTGATCCTAAGATATTCTTTTTAGATGTACAGCTAAAAAGCTTAAAACAGTGGAATAGTCGAAGCTTCTAACAACAGGAAATCTAAATGGAACGGACAACTTATAAGTTTCTATAGTTGGGTTGGCCTCAGAAACCAAGCGAAATTAGATTTACCCAAGGTCATCTTTCTGATTGTTTAGAAATTCGCCTGTTCCTATGAAGAAAGGTATATTAGCTATACTCACCGTTCGCTTCCAGAATGTATTTCCAAACAGAAGAAGAAAGAACAGCACCTCACAACTATATGAGGCGACATCTGATCGATTCTGACTTACTTAATAAATGCAGAGAACAACTTAAGTGTTATCTATAGAGTTCGTGAAAATCTCATGAAAGGTGTATTTCTGAAATACCTTCAAACTGTGGAAGACATGGTAATTCATATTTTGAAGCTTAAACTATCCACTAAAGAAGGGTTTATCCAGTCACTCGATTTACGATGGACAAGAACTGTAAGAACATTTCACCTTTGGACGCTATCCTGCATGGCTATCTACAGGATATTGTAAGGCCATCAACAGCTCAATTCTTGAGCATTTGGCTATCTTTGGTCACTGTGTTCAAGGACAGTCTTCTTCCAAAGTCATTTGTAAAGGCAGACAGACAAACCGATAATTATTTACTAGTTCAACACGTAATCGAACCTCAATTATCACTAGAACTTTAATTGTTGAAGACGGGTTACAGATAACAAATGGTATGTTACTGAAAGATCAGAATGCACTTCTTGAACCCTTACTCTTTGAGATACAGTATAACTTAACACCTGTTACACCATTCAGCATAGAAATGCATGAAAAACATGACTGTTGGTCTGTGCCGTGGAGGAGAGAGGACAGAAGTAGAACTTCCAGTCGACGTACACGTGACAGCCTAATGGTTGTCGACTCTAAGTGATATGCCTCAGAACCGATCGAAGTGACACAGATGTATCCACAAATTATCTTCATCTTAACCTACCAAGACTCCGCAGATTGCAAAACAGATGAGAAGATGTGGCTTAGGAGTGTCAAGATAGGAATCTGCGAAAACAGATGGAATGCAAGTGGACTCTCAAAACTGTCAACTGCACAGGAGTCAATAATCTACTCCAATATTGTCATCCACACGACACGACACGACACGACATGACAACCACGAGCACACTGAGTTTTCCAGTGGCTACCATGATGCCGCGAACAGCATCGAAGACTGTCTCTCATGCAGGATCACCATCATGACACCAAGGTTCAACTCAAAAGGAATGAAAGTCACAATCATACAATGCTACACTGTGCGCCTACAAATAATGCAGATCAAGAGAAAAATGAGAAACAGGCTGTTGGTAGGAGAGACTTGACAATACTATATATCAAATAACCAGGTTCCTATATATCTGAGAAGAGATGAACACAGATGAGACCAATGAAAGATAGTGAAGTAAACTTAGTTACCACTAAAGGGGAGAAACAGCGGAAACGATGAGCTGACCACTTCAAAAATCTCTTGAATCGACCAACACTACTACCACCACCTGCAACTCGTCGAGAAATACCACCAACACATCATCTACAGAATTACCAGTGAAGACAAGGCCTCCGACAAAAGCAGAAGTGAAGTCCTCAACACTATGAAGTTTCTGGAATCCAGGAAAGCAGGGGGACCAGATGGAATTCCTCCAGAAGAACTGAGAACAGACTCAGAGAAAATATGGGACATGGTCATACCACACCACTTCTCCAGAAGGTTTGGAAAGAAGGAAGGAAAGGTACCTGGCAATTGGAAGAATGGCTATCTTGTCAAACTCTCAAAGAAGGGAGAATAGAGAAGTGTTTACAGATTTCTGCACATTCAACGATTTGGTGATTGGAGGCAGTGTGTACAAGCACATGGATATTCGCAAATCGACCGACATCGATTTCATTTCATCAGACACCACATCACACCAGGACACAATACACTAAAAATCAGATCGACTTCATCTCTCTCAATGTGAAGAAAGTGGAGATGCAGCTTACTAGACACAAGATCAGACCAAGAATTCTCCTCAGCAGATGTAGGTTCACACCACTCACTGTCTAGTCCAAGGAACCTACCTTCAAAATCAAATTCAAGTTGGTGATAGACGACCACAGTTCAAGTTGAACACCCAGAACAGAAAGTGAACTGAATGACGAAACTACAAAGGACATCTTCACGTCAGTCAGTCAGTTGTCAAGACGAAATGGGAGATATTGAGCAACATCCTTGAGGAAACCTGAGTGGATAAACACTGGGACTCTTTGAAAGCTGTGTGGAAAGAAACCTGCATAAGTGTATTACGAAGGAAGAGGAAACAAGACAAGTTATCGATCTCGATAGACACATGGAAGCCGGTAGAGGAAGGAGAGGAAGGTGGGGTAATAGTGGAGCAGAAGATGAACCAGTGCACTGCACTGTACTGCACTGCACTGCAGGGATGAACAACGAAAAGAGGAACTGTACAAAGAAGTGAAGAAGAGTGGTCAGAAAGACAAAAGACACTTCGACGACACACTTGCAAGTGAAGTAGAACAGGCTGTTGGTAGGAGAGACTTGACAATACTATATCAAATAACCGGGTTCCTATATATCTGAGAAGAGATGAACACAGATGAGACCAATGAAAGATAGTGAAGTAAACTTAGTTACCACTAAAGGGGAGAAACAGCGGAAACGATGAGCTGACCACTTCAAGAAGCTCTTGAATCGATCAACACCACCACTACCGCCAGCTTCAACTTGTCGAGAAATGCCATTAACACATCATCTACAGAATTACCAGTGAAGGCAAGCCCTCCGACAAAAGCGGAAGTGACGTCCTCAACACCATGAAGTTTCTGGAATCCGGGAAAGTTGGGGGATCAGATAGAAGCACTGAGAACAGACACAGAGAGACCAACGAACATGCTCACAGCACACCACTACTGCAGAAGGTTTGAAAAGAAGGAAGGAAATGTACCTGGCAATTGGAAGAATGGCTATCTTGTCGAAGGGAGACCTAAATCTGCAAATACAATAGCTGGCGCGGAATCATGCTCCTGTAGCTATCCACCCCAGGCAAAATGTTAAGCCACATCATCCTGAAGAGAATAAAAGATGTACTGGATTAGAAATTATGACGGAACGGGCTGGTTGGCTTCAGGAAGAACAAATTATGCGCGGATCAAATATCAACGCTACGCTACGCATCGTCATATAACAGAGCATAGAATGGCAGTCAACTCAACACAACCTCAACTTCATAGACTTTGAGAAGGCCTTTGACGGTGTCGACCGGGAAGTAATTTGGAAGGCAGCTGACTCAACACTACACTTTTAGTGCTACAAACCTTTATCAACCTCATTCAATAGCTGTAAGCCATGCTATATGGTGCTAGACGCCAAGTGACTCACAATGGGAAGCTGAGTGACGCCTTTGAAGTGACGACAGGAGTAAGGCGACACAAGGTTGCCTATTATCACCGACGATCTTCCTGACTGAAGTCGACTGGATCATGCAACTTACTGTGAGGAGCAAGAAGAGGGTCACACGCTGGCCAGGCCGATGAAAAGAGCCTAGAATATTTGAGTTCGCCATCGATGATGATTTATGTCTGCCACATTCTGGCTGGCAACGAACTAAGCAACAACCTATCGCACAACAAATATCCAGAAGAAAGTGGAGATGGATGGGACTGGATATATACTGCGAAGACCGTTCAGGGACATCACGCGAGAGGCCAGGCCTTTGAGTGGAACTCAAATGAGGAACGGCGAGTTGCGCGTCCGAGGGTGATATTGGTGGAGATCGTATGAGGTAGAAATGGTATTTGTGGAGCCAGATTGAGGAGACTGCGGAGAGCAGAATGAAATGGAGTTGTGTTTCTGAAGCCCCGTGTTTCACTAGGAACCCAATACAATCTTTTCCAGCCTTTGGTTACTTCACCTTACATCTTAAAATAGGGTAGGAACTGATAAGGCATCTTAGTTAGTTGAAGGGAACCGGTAGGAATCTCTGGAGACATGTTTCGTGTTTGTCAGCACTCGTCAGCAAGGCGCATCGGCAACCTTGAGATTATAACCCGCGCAAAAACACTGATCAGTGCAGTGGTAAGACGTAACTTTCCACGAAATAACTGTAAACCAGGGGATAAATTTGTGAATATGCATTAACTAAGCTGGCTGGAATATGTGTTAGCCATGGTAGGTCATTGCTATCTTTTATTAGGCATCATATATGAAGTATACTTATCATGAAAGAAGATTCAGAGTAGTCAAATTAGAAGTTCCATGAATACACATTCTCAGATGTTGAAAATATACTCATTACTCTCTTTACTATTTTCTAAACATAAAAAGCTTTACTCTCAGGTGACCATTTATTTTTCTTTATAAATTGGTTCTATTTGGCACCACTTTACAGGAATTTCGGTTTCAGTGCTGCTGAGAAACATGACAATTTTAACTGTTTACACTAACATCCTATATTCTGCACCTAGTTGAGTTATTTAGCTGTGACAGATAAAAGAAAGGAATAACACAGTAAAGAAAATCTTCGTTTCTCACGAATTCTGACTGATAAAATCAATGGGGAACCTTGTACACAGGTGCATCTATTCAAGTTGCAACACTTCAAAGTAGTATAAAAAGGACTGGTGGATTAGAAAAGAGTCATACAAAAATAGACAAAGTTGTGTGAGAGAATAAACAATTTAATGATAACAGTTAATGAAAATATTTAAACTTTAGAAGATGTCAAGGAGTGAATACATCTATGCCATCAGTGTAACCGATTTTCAACTATATCACCAAGAGCCCTCAACCACTGATTCGTTTCGTCTCTAGGACGCTAACCAGGTTATCTACACCTTCCAGTAGGGCTCAAACCAACAGCCAGAGACTTGATCGACTGGTTTCATGTCCTGGTTCGGCCACCCCTAACCTGGTATATCGAGGTGGGGAAATTCATTCGCCGAAGCTATACAAGTGTATTTATATACATCGAAAACACATAACAGTCTATTATTATGAATAATAGGATAGAATTGCATGAAAAGATTAGTGTTCAATGGTAGAAGAAACATGAGAGAGAAGTTGTGTTATAGTCTATAAGACAATGTAATTAATGAGACAGGTAACAAATTCAACAAAATGAAAACAGCTGGTAGATGCTAAATGTGATCACTGAGTGCCCACCTGATAAATGTGAAGAAAGTTATGAAAGAAACAGGGAGTTAAGACCATGGCAAGATAAGAGACTGAACATACCTTTTCTATACGTAGAAATCAAGCTCCAACAGGTGAACATCTAGTATTTGCTTAGCGTATAAGTCTTGAAAGCGCACTCATTTTGAACTGCTATAGTTAACCTTGTAAATGACAGTGAAAGGAGACTCTGGTGGAGCTGAAAGACCAGAGTATACAACATATTCAAGAATAAAAATGGTGATTGATATACATTCTCTGCTTGATAACTAGACAGACTTGTGCTTGAAGATGAGTTTGTAAAGTTCACGTTTTTGTGAAAGAGGTTCACATCAGCGGGTAAACTTTTAAAGACATGCAGAAGTGGCCCAAAGCAACAACTTCCTCTCAACAGATCATAAAGAAGCTGATGTATAATTTAGCAGAGAGGAATATCCTCTTCAGTGATTTGGACAGCCGACTCTTTAAGAACTTCGCTACCATATCACCCTTGGAATTAACATTCATGAGTAACCTTTTCTTTAAAACTGTATATGTTTGTTCAGTATGTTGCTTGAATTTCAAATTGTTCTCATTAAATGTAGATGAATATCCATTCCATATGAGTATTTGTCGAAGTATGTCCAAATCATTAAAAACTGAGTCATTTATGCAGATCTCTGTTATGATGGATAGTGAGCTAGCAGTAGAATCCAAAATGCGCATTTCACTCTATTTAGGACTCGTCAGTTGGATGTACCTACTTCCCAGTGAAGGTTGTTCCCACCAGGATTCGAACTCGGGACCGATTGCTTCAAACTCTTGAGTCCCAAGTTCAAATCCCAGTGGGAAGAACATCACATACTGGAAGGCAGGCACATCCAGCTGACGAGTCCTAAATAGGACGAAATGAGTGTCCTGGACTCCACTGCTAGCCACTATCCATCATTACTCTATAATTAAGATATTCGTACAGAAGCCCATATGCCAATAGAGACTGATCAGTTAGGTCTAATCAACGACGGCATAATGCAAGCAATAACATTAGGATTTCTGTTATTTTTGAAATTCATGTGCTGTCCATTCTATGGCAGCTTCCTGCAGAAAAATCTCTGTTAGAAACCAGTCAGTCACCTTTTCGCCAAAGCATTGAGAAAACGAAATCCCGACTTCTCTTTAAATTCTCACGTGAAGTGAACTGATTAATGACAATCTTTGGTAACTCATCAAATGGATAGATATTTTTATTACCTACGATGCATGCATGATCTATATATTTCTTATATAGATAGAAACTCTCAGGTTTTCAATGATTTGTTAATTGATGTCACTCCATGATGAATACTACCTTAAAAATAATCAGAAACTATCAATAGTCGAGCGCAGAACGCAACCCTCTCGTCATCTGACATCACGGAGATTGATCTAACCGCTGGAGAATCTTTGGTAGATCTAGAATACACAGATAACATAGTCGTGCTAAGTAAAGGTGCTGACAGGATGCAGAGTCTGCTGGACGCTTTGAGTGGAAATTTGAAAATGTTTGGGAAACGTTTCTAGCAGCCCAAATACAAATTATTGCTACAGGACTGGTCCTCAGCGGTGTCACGTTTAACAATAGAGGGTGAAGTGATTGAGTACATCGGCCACTTCATTTACCTGAGAAGTCATATCAGCCCTGGTGGGTCGGTGACCGACGAAATATCTGCACAGATACAAAAAGCTCGATTGGCTTTCACCAACTTATGCCATCTGTGATACCACCGAGATATTCGATTGCATATTAAGCAACCAGTGTGCTGTGTTGCAGTCCGTTCTGTTATATTTCGCGGTTGTGAAACATGGCTATTAAAAAAAGAAGGCATGAGAAGGCTTCAGATGTTCGACCACCGTTGCCTTCTTAGCACAAACAGTGTGTTGTGAGTAACGCAGTAGCCAAGTGTAAAGTTTTAGAGAGGGAGGAGAGGAAAGTCAGTTGATATTGTTGTGAACTTTCATCAACTGAGATGACCGCGACATAGTAGCACATGCCTAGTGACCATCAGCCTCGTCGCACAATGTTGGCTGAAGTAGGTTCAGGCTAGAAAAAGGCTCAACGCACATGACATCAGTGCATTTTATCATTCCTCCTTCTTCTCTTTCTTAATCTCTCATCCATCTACTTTGTTACTTGTGGTCCTGATACAATGCATGCCAAGTTGGTGAGTTGTGCAATAACGCCTGATCGTATGATGATTATGATGATGCTGGAAACCTATTCACTTAGTTCGTATATAGAGAAATCTGCCAACTAAAAATAAAGTAAACAATCTTAGGTGATGCTAACGAAATACACGTAAGTCGGGAGTAATATTGAAAATACACGTATTGTTTTGTTTAAGATGCATTATATATACCCTATTCCATAAAATGTAGAAACAAAAATTCACGATATTAAAGGCCAGATCAGTTGAACTTAAAAATGAAACTTCAAAAAATGTTAATAAACAAACTCACAACCAGTATACATTTTAAACAAATAACCATTGAACAAATATAAAAATGGCGATTGTAAACTATAATCATACATGCATACCGTAATCGATTCATTATTCAATGCTTGTGTAATAAAATTGGTAACCACTCGACCATCATTGATTTGCATTCTTGGTCCATAGGTGTTGAAAATACGAGCAACTCTGACGGGTAGATTAAGCTGTAAGTAAAGAGAAGTATAAAAAACCGACGACCTAGAAATAGGTAGGAAAACTAGACTATGACTGTAACTAAGGCATACGATAGATTTAGTTGTTATTGGGACTCATCAGTAAGGTCTATATGTACAACCTTGTGGGGGTTGATGCCTCTCTCAGTCACTCTGTGCTACAGTTAGAAAAAAACATCACTGAACAATTCTCTTTTATCTCTCAGCTGACTTTACTAATCAGCGTTTGTTAGACTCTGATAGTTTAATTACCCTTTTGGGACTCCTTCGCGTGCATACTTGCTAACTTACCTACTCATAAGGAATGGGTTACATAGATAATATGGAAGCCTGAATAATTAAAAGTTCTATCCAAAATTACCCTCGTTTATTAACAACTCTATTCTCTGGAGTCTCGAAATCAAAATCCACTGAGCAACCTTGTGAACATTCGTGTAGTAGCCAATGAGTCATGCCTGTAGTGTGAAGGGTAGTGATACTACCTAGCTGCTCAAACCTCAAAATGTGCAGCGGGGTTTCATCCTATGACCAATCAGCTGAAAGCTAGCTAACTTCAATTACATTAGTTGATCTCAATAAATAACAGTAACTGACACCCATTGTACAAGAGATGGCTATCATGCCTCAATAGTTAATACACTAACGTTTGAAGCGATGGTTACAGGGTTGAAGTCTCAGTGGGATATGCATGTATACCCCTAAGCTGACGAGTCCTAAATAGGGCGAAACGCACATCCTGGATTTTATTGTTACCCATCGAGTAGACTAAAACTAGGTGGCTGAAAAAAATACAATAAAACGACTCAATTACGAAAGATGTCACGGTACATCATGTAAAACACAATTAGATGGTATATCTTTGAACCAGTTTTATAGTTCGCTAACATTTTGACATTAAGATGATTTTTTGTGAACTTGTGAAAGAAATCACTGCTAAGTGAAGTCAATTGAATAAGCTTTTTAAGGATGGAAAGACAGACAGTAATTAACAGTGAAATCTAAGATGCATATTTCGTCCTATCTGCGATTCGTCAGCTGAAATCATTGGTTACGTCAAAGCATCCGCACAGGTGTTCATGTACCAAAAAAGGTTGGTTAGTTCAGTCCAAACTAATCAAAATCGAGGAATAAAAAGTTCCAATCCCAAATAAGCGTCTATTTTCAGTTTAAATAAATTTGAACAAACGTCTCAATCTCAATTACGGGGTTCAACAGTGTTCTCAAACCTTCCTATGACATGGAAAGCCGAAGAAAAGCTCCGCCATCCATATCATAACTTATACATATATATTCAGGTCATAAAATATCATTCGAAACGGTAAAAGTCATTCCAAAAGGGTTTTCTTGCTTATAAAGTGCCATGCATTGTAGAAGCTTCGCATATCTATTCGTACCCTTCTTCTGAGATCAACAGAAAAGATGGGTTAGAAATATAAGAGTAAAACGGGCACTCTGATCGATTGTAATTCCATTTTAGTCTGTTTATCAAATGTGTCACACAGTGAAGGAACAGTATCACCTACTCGATAATGTTTCGGACACAATTGATTGTCCATATTCATATCAGATAACTTCACAACATCGAGACAGAGTTTATATATTCCTAATCTACTCTCTTCTTCTTTGTGATGACAAGGGTAGTAGAATTTTTCATATATCTGGGGCAGATGCAGAATCATTTCTGTTACTGCATGTATTTGGTGTTGATTCGATAAACAAAGATTCAAATTGTCCCATCCCATCTCAGCTGAAGTAGGCTTAGTTAAATGCCTAGGTAAAAGGGTGAAAAAACTTACCAGTAGGTCATAAGGTCTACGACAAGAAATTGGATAAATCAGGAATACCTTGCATCTCAATAATTACCCACCTAAATTTATCAATAAATTCATAAGAAATCGAAAGAAAAATATTAGTAGTAGTAGCAGTAATACACGTCTTATTAACAGTAATTCTACTACTAATGGTAATAATGGTGACAGGGTTAAGAGAAAATTCAAAGCCTCCGCCGTGTTACCATACAAGGAAGGTAGCTCAGAAGCTTTACGAAGAATTCTCGATAAGACTGGCTGAGATTAAAGTGGTATTTAAACCAACAAACTCGCTTAGAAACAAGCTATGTAGGTTAAAAGGTTAAAATAATCTGGTTTACCAGATTCCTTGCAATGATTGCGAGGTCAAAGTAGTCGACCAGGGTGGATTAGAATAACAGAGCACAAAAACTCAGCTCAATCAAGATTAGTAGATCCCAATAAGATAAGAAATCTATAGAAAAACTCTGCATGCTATGACAAATAATCACACAGTAGGGTAGGATAGGCGACAGTGTTGAAAACTAACTTAGTTCAGTGGAGGGAGAGAGAGATTGATAACCGAATCTGCTTTTATCGAATCAATACCAAATACATGCAGTAATAGAAATGGTGGTGCACCTGTCCCAGATATGTAGAAAACTCTACAGCTCTTGTCATCACAGAGAAGAAGAGATTAGATTAGGACTACATAAACTGTGCCGCAAAGTTGTGGAGTTACCTGATATGAATATGGACAATCAATTCTGTCCGAAACGTTATCCAGTAAATGATACTGTTCCTTCACTGTGTGACACATTTGATAAACAGACTAAAATAGAATGGGTTAAATATCCCACAAATATGGTAAACATTAATGACTCTGTATAGACAGTTCGAAATAATACATAGAACGCAACTTCATTTCACACTGTTCCACATTGATTTATGCGAAACATATTCATCTTTCAATAGTTTTCGGTGTTATTTCGCTTAATCTCTTCAAAAAATAAATATATTTGTTTTATTTTAACACAACTTGTCTACTAGTCCTATTACACCATACTTCACTGATTTACTATTCTCATCAATTTTACGCTGCTTTCTGACATATTCATTCTGTAAACCATTTTGTTGTCATTCATACTTTCACTGTTATCAAAAGTACTTCTATAGTTATCACTATTATTATCATTATTCGTTATTATACAGTTTCAGGTACAAATATTTATCTTTGCAAAGTAGTGCTTTATTCTTACACGCCCTTTCCATACCTAAATATTCACAACTCCATTGTACTTTTCATAGTCGAGCTAAATTTCCCCACCCTATTTTTGTTCTACCTTATCTCCATAACTAGAAGAAAGGAGGAGTGACTTTAAGGGCCACCCTAGCAACTGATGAGATAACCAATCAAGTTTCGGTACTTCGGTACTTTTCCATAAAATAAAAGGGATATGATTAGCTACTTCATCAGTTGCTAAGGTGGCCTTTAAAGTCACCAGAAAAAAAGCCTCTTTGACCGATTTGCTAATTCACTGATCGTTGTTCCACATCACGATGTGATTGGATGACCATAAGGAAGGTAGGGGTCACGTTTTGTACCAAAACTCGAACACTAACCTGGATTCTTAATGTCTCAGATTCATAATCTTGAAAAGGGTCTTCCTGGCAAGATCGAAACGCTGAGGAATAATGCACAAAATATTTTGTGCATGCTAATATTATATTACGCAAGGATTGCACAAGTAAAAATACCCCTTATACGATGAATTATACTAACTCGGTGCCCAAGTTTGTCCAAATCATGCATTACTTTATCTAAATTTCTGGCCTAGTGTGAACAAGATCGCTCACTAAGAGGCAGGTATATCCAGCTGACGAGTCCCAAATAAGACTAAACGATCGTCTTGAATTCCACTGCTAGCCGCTATACATAATTAAGACTACTTTAATATAAGTCCTTTTCTATCGACCTGTTCTTTGTGTACTTCTGTGAAGTGTGGCAACTTGAGTCGACGTACTCCTGTGCAAGATTCTACGTTGATTTTAGCAGGTAGTCAGTTTTCTGAACCATCCAGTCCATGATACGTTCAAAGCTTTCAAACCCGTGACAGAATTCGGATTTAACTGTTCAAATTTTTACTATGAATACTCCAATCAGTGAGATTATCTGTTTTGATTCATTGTGCTCTGTTAATAGTTACATTTAGGAATCGAAAACGAGTATTTGGAACGAATTTATCCTGTTAGTATCCAACTTTTCAATTTTAAATTGAAATGTGTTATTCTATGTGCATCTACCAATTCACCTGGTATTATGGAGTACGGTACATCGGCCGTAGCCAGATAACGCTTTCTGCACGTATACGAGTACATGTTCCAGCTTGGTTTTATGAAGGTGAAAGAAAGTCTGTTTGAAGTTCTATTTTAGATTTCTATCACTCAATAAATTCAGACAATGACTTTAAAATTATTTATCAAATTCGCTTAAATCTCTTACATTTTCTTCGTTTTCAACTCCATGAAACAGTAGAGGCTTTAGCTATTCATGAACTAAAACCTGATCTGTGTGTACAAAAGAAGTATGTAAAGTTACTGTGTTTTACCATGACCATAACATTTTCCCACTCTCATTAGTTTACCCTCCTCCTTTGTTAACTTAACGTTTGTATCCTTCCTTTATTATTACTATTGTTATTATAATTGTTCATAGGAAAAGACAAGACGTGGTTTCAACGAAGAAAATTTTTTCATTTCGATGAATTCATTTACTAAGCTATATATTCACAAATGTACTTTCTTCGCTAAAATTATCTTGTCTTTTTCCATGATCAAATAGGTGTATTCCGCTATTATAATCGCCTTCACTTTCATTAGTTTCCGGTGTTATGTCACTTAATTGCCTTAATCTTCTTGGGAAACACTGATTTCATTTTGACCAACCTGTGTAATCTTTCTTATTACATAATACTTAGTCGGTTTACCACTTTCATCAATCTTTTTCACCCACTTTTGAGTTATATACCTTCCATGAACAATTCCATGCGTAATCTACTTTGTTACCACTCATACTTTAATTGTTATTATAATCACAAATACTTATATCATTATCCGCTCTATTATTATTGTCATTATCCTATAGTGTTTAGTTTCTCTTACGGGATATATTTTTTCAAATATCATATATATATATATATATATATATATATATATATATATATATATATATATATATATATATATATATATATATATACGATTGTACAGCTTGAAAATAAATCCGTTGAAAAGAGTCTCTTCGCTGAATATCTTCTTTATTCTGATTTAATATCATAAATTGACAAGCAGACAGATAAAATCTATGGGGAACCTTGTACACAGGTGCATCTATTCAAGTTGCAACACTTCAAAGTAGTATAAAAAGGACTGGTGGATTAGAAAAGAGTCATACAAAAATAGACAAAGTTGTGTGAGAGAATAAACAATTTAATGATAACAGTTACTGAAAATATTTAAACTTTAGAAGATGTCAAGGAGTGAATACATCTACGCCATCAGTGTGACCGATTTTCAACCATATCACCAAGAGTCCTCAACCACTGATTCCTTTAGTCTCTAGGACGCTAACCAGGTTATCTACACCTTCCAGTAGGGCTCAAACCAACAGCCAGAGACTTGATCGACTGGTGCCGTGTTTTGATCTGGCCGACCTGAACTCTCTTCGAACCTAATCCAACTTCCCGTAGCCTCGCTTATACAGCTAGGCGTTGGCTGCCTGGGCATGCGCAGTCTAGTCCAAGGCACCTCAGTCGATGAGAGTTTTAGATGTCCAGGTATATAGAGACAGTAAAGCAAGATGGACTTAACAAATCGCTGTTATTCCAAGAGTTCATGTACATATGTGTGTGTATATCAAAGAGATAGAGAATATGTTCTTGATAATTGACTTGAATCAAAGAAGATTAATTACAATGAGTTGCGTAAACGATGTCATATCAGGGACTTTTATTCAGTGAGTAATCAGTATATTTAATTTATTTCTACAAGAGATTAGTCGCAGACTCAAAACAGTTCAGCGAGTCGAATCGAATAGGTAGCTTGTTCACTCCATAAGATGGTAACAAAGGGCAGCAACTGTGAAACCAATATGTATAAGGTAAATTAGGCAAACTTAGAGGAGTTCATGTTTTGCTGGAGATTTGAACTTTGTGGTTAAATTAAGAAACTTAACAACCAAGCTATTCAGATTACAACTAAACATTACAAGGAATAGCTTACATTTTTATGAATGGTCAGTAAATGAACCAAGTCGATATTCATATGGGAAAATGAACTTTCTCGTTGTAGCGAATAAGCCTTGTTAAACAGTGCAAACAAAATTTTCGACTCAGTCCTGGCCGAGCCCCGTCTTAAGTAAAAGAACACTCTCGTAGTGATCAATGTTACCCCAAAACCCCTTAAACTGTCAGGCTAGATAATCATTCTCTTGACTCCAGACAACTCCATAAGCAGACTTGTATGGGACATGTCTCATTGAGTCTCCACAACCTTCCAAACCTAGGTATAGATGTTCTTACCCGGGAGGCCACTCTGTAGGCCGAAACTATTACATGGCTTAGGCTAACGACACATGCCTTCCGCGCCAAATATCGTTCGGCTTCTTAAGATAAAACTAAACATACTACAGTTTGCACTACTCAAGGACATATGGATGTTGTGGATAGCAATTACCGATGAGTTAACTTTGAAAGTGTATTAGTTGATATACATCGAAGCTAAGTGAAGGCTTACCATTACAACGTAACTGGGCTCAACCCGTAATCACCGACGCACAAACCATCTCCGGTTTCCCAGGTCAACATAACAAACCCAGGACCACTTAACCGTGTTCACATTGACGCTCTGGCGCGTAATTTTGGAACGAGTCAATACCATCTTAAGAGAAATATAGATATTTCAATCAACTCTTACTCCTGATATCTTACAAATCAATGAACCAAAGTGTTTCCTACTGTGTTGTATAGCTTAATGACTGAATGGAAAACTTACCTAATGCACTCCAACAAGTATATAGAATTTGACAGCTATATAAGTTAGTAGTTTGTACAGATAAAAATACAAACTTACATATCTTGAATAAGCATAAGTCATAGTTTCCCCAAGGCGTTTACTTTCATCATAACAAGCCCTTGGTCCAATTGGATTTACATGACCCCAATAAGTTTCAGGTTGAGGATGAATTTCAGGATCTGAAGATATGAAGGGAAACAAGAACAGTCTGTAATTATGCTGATGGAAGTAAATGTAATGAAAGATTACTTTACACTGAAAAGATTGAAATGTAGATTTCAGAAGAGTTATGTTACTGAGCACAGGGTAATTGAACTTCCTTTCTAAACGTTAGCTTTAGTTATCAGCTCTGAGATTTGATAATTAACCTATCCGTCGGCACAGTAGGATAATTTTAATGGTGTTATATTCTCTGAGTTGGATAGTCTGATCGTGAAGCTTTCATTCTCAGTCTAGACAACAACATCATCATCAAACCTTCAGAAAGAAATGATTTTCTTCACAATTGATTTAGTGTAGCTTGTCCAGATGACCTTGTGTATGATTAGTTGTTTTTGACTGAAGAAGAATAGCTATCTCAGCAACTTCATTAAAAGATGCTTACATAATTTGTTTTGGCTGTAATGTGTTCTCTCAGCTGGGTTGTTTAATCGTGAAGCTTTCGTCGTTTTTCTAGACGACATCATCAGCACTAACTTCAGTATGAAGTGAGCTGACAATATCTCTCTATGAGTGATTTAGTAGCTTGCCTTGACGAAGTGGTCTGTGATTGGTTGTTTCCTTCGATTATTATGTCATTGACTACATTGATTTTCCTGCTGGCTGTGCCTCTGCTTCACCTCTGACCTTGCTGTCATTTATCATTTTTCTCATTGGTTGATATAACGGGTCTATGTCTATACATCTCTTGATTGCCAACTGACTGACCTGAATGCCAAGCTTCTAGAAATTCTCTGATATTTTTTGTTTCTCTGTCCAAAATTTCTGCATTGTCAAAATTGAATTCGTGTCCATAGTTATTATCCATCTGTATCCATCTGAGCGACGAAATGTCGTGGCGTTCAATAGCCAATTGGTGCCCATGTAGACGAAGGCGAAGAGGGCGGCCGCTTTGTCCAATGTAGTGCTGACTACAGTTATGGCAGTTGATTTTGTTGATGATGTTGTCTAGCAAGGCGATGAAAGCTTCACGATTAAACAACTCAGCTCGGAGAATACAATACAACCAAGACCATCCACCTGAGCTACAAATATTCTCTATTATTTTACATAATATGTCGTCAACCAAGAAGGCAACCTTGAAAGTTAAAACAAAAACGGTGTGTCCTACCCTATATAGAGAAAGTCTTCGAGATCACGACTAGAGTATTGAAGCCTTTTAGAATCACTAAATCTCACAAGCCAATAAAATCCCTTGACTCTTTGGTATACAGGCCAAAAGATACAATAGTAAAAGAAAACAAACCACACGTTATCTACAAAAAAAAGCTAAAGAAACTGTTGAAAAACCACATCAGACGGAGCGGTCGCCCTCTTCGTATTCGTCTACAGGAATATCAACCAGCAGTGAAGCATAATGATATATCTTCGCTTATATTATTGCATACGGACAATTGTGGGCATGAATTTGACGAAGAAAATCCTAAACAGAGGAAATACAAAGAATGCTAAACAATTTTTCGGGGCTTGATATTCAGGCCAGTCAGTAATCAATAGACATACTGACATTGACTCAATCTATTAACAAATAAGAAAAACCAACAAGGTCATCAGAACAACCAATCACACACAAGGTCATCAGGACAACCTGCTGAACCAATTGCAACGAAAACGATTTGCTTCACTTCTCAACTTTGTCCTGATGATGTTGTCTAGAATGACAGTGAAAGTTTCACGATTAAACTATTCGGCTCAGACAGAAGAACATCATCGAAAGCATTTTAATACATCTGGTCACTAACTACTTCAGGTTAATTTTCTCAGTGTGTGTATACCTCGCCTGGTTAACTAGTTCACTGGTTACTAGCCGGTTCGAAGCCCGGTTAAAAAGGGAAGGTTGGACATTGGGCCAGCAACCCTACCCCGTAAAACTAACCTAACCGCCAAAGAAACTTCAAAGTGCAAAGAAAATATAAAACAAAATTAAACTTATTCCTCGCTGGAATCGGCGAGACGAAATGATGCCAGTCTTTGAAAGCTTTCGGGAAGCCAGTTGGCCAGTGTGTCTTCTCACTCTCGATGAAAGCAAAAGTAAACATAGGTACATGGAATGTCCGAACAATGTTTGAAGCTGACTAGCAAGGCTGCCCAGATTGCAAAACAGATGAGAAGATATGGCTTAGGAGTGTCAAGATAGGAATCTGCGAAAACAGATGGAATGTAAGTGGACTCTCAAAACTGTCAACTGCACAGGAGTCAATAATCTACTCCAATATTGTCATCCACACGACACGACAACCACGAGCACACTGAGTTTTCCAGTGGCTATCATGATGTCGCGAACAGCATCGAAGACTGTCTCTCATGCAGGATCACCATCATGACACCAAGGTTCAACTGAATTCATACAATACTACTCTACGCACCTACAAATAATGCAGATGAAGAGAAGAAGGAGGAATTCTACACACCACCTCAATCTGTACTGGACAATAACCCATCCTAGTTAGCGACATAAAAAAATTCTAATGGATATCATGAATGCCAAACTGGGAGCAGACAACACAGGAAGAGAACTCATCATGTGTGGAGGAGAGGCAGAGGCACTGGGTGAAATGAATGAGAATAGAGAAGTGTTTACAGATTTCTGCACATTCAACGATTTGGTGATTGGAGGCAGTGTGTACAAGCACATGGATATTCGCAAATCGACCGACATCGATTTCATTTCATCAGACACCACATCACACCAGGACACAATACACTAAAAATCAAATCGACTTCATCTCTCTCAATGTGAAGAAAGTGGAGATGCAGCTTACTAGACACAGAATCAGACCAAGAATTCTCCTCAGCAGATGTAGGTTCACACCACTCACTGTCTAGTCCAAGGAACCTACCTTCAAAATCAAATTCAAGTTGGTGATAGACGACCACAGTTCAAGTTGAACACCCAGAACAGAAAGTGAACTGAATGACGAAACTACAAAGGACATCTTCACATCAGTCAGTCAGTCAGTCGTCAAGACGAAATGGGAGATATTGAGCAACATCCCTGAGGAAACCTGGGTGGATAAACACTGGGACTCTTTGAAAGCTATGTGAAAAGAAACCTGCATAAGTGTATTACGAAGGAAGAGGAAGCAAGATAAGGAATCGATCTCGATAGACACATGGAAGCCGGTAGAGGAAGGAGAGGAAGGTGGTGATAGTGGAGCAGAAGATGAACCAGTGCACTGCACTGTACTGCACTGCAGGGATGAACAACGAAAAGAGGAGCTGAAAATAGCGTATCAAACACTACACTGGACAAAGAAGTGAAGAAGAGTGGTCAGAAAGACAGGAGACACTTCGACGACACACTTGTAAGTGAAGTAGAACAGGCTGTTGGTAGGAGAGACTTGACAATACTATATATCAAATAACCAGGTTCCTATCTATCTGACAAGAGATGAACACAGATGAGACCAATGAAAGATAGTGAAGTAAACTTAGTTACCACTAAAGGGGAGAAACAAAGGAAACGATGAGCTGACCACTTCAAAAATCTCTTGAATCGACCACCACTACTACCACCACCTGCAACTCGTCGAGAAATACCACCAACACATCATCTACAGAATTACCAGTGAAGACAAGGCCTCGACAAAAGCAGAAGTGAAGTCCTCAACACTATGAAGTTTCCGGAATCCAGGAAAGCAGGGGGACCAGATGGAATTCCTCCAGAAGCACTGAGAACAGACTCAAAGACAATAGTGGACATGCTTACACTTATCATGGGTAACATTTACGAATGCATCAGTGTCATTTCTATATTCATAGCTATCTCAGATAGTCAAAATGATGCTCCCCTTCTTCTCTAATTCCCTTACATTTCGAGTGAGATGAGAAGTCCTGACAAGGCAGTCAGTGTCAATACGATCACGAGATAGTCACGCGTCACATGGTTGCCTACTAACTGTGGTGGTGTGGCTGTTTGTGGACGACTATATTGGACTGGGTCATCCTTGAGACAATTGTGAATAGCGAGATGATGGGCACACGCTGGCTGGACCTATGAAAAGAGCCTAGAAGATTAGGACTTCGCCGATGATCACGAAGTAGTAACGCGTCACGAATTCAAATGGTAGTCGGTCAAAAGTCGGCTTGGTGATTGAAGTGAAATAAAAATCTGGTCAGCAGTCGGATCTCGTAGGCGAGTTGGTGGAGCATCGGGTCGGAAACCTGGTGGTTGCTGGTGGGAATCCGACGGCGGTCCAAATTTTCATCTCACCTCCAGTCATCACCCAGTTTTCTGTAATCATAAGTAATCTGTTCAACAACATAACAGAACATCAAACCATTTATATGATCTATACTACTTAAAAATATAACAGTAGTCTATACCAACAACTCCACCCAGATAATTATGGCTTAGAATAGAATTAACACAACTAGTAAGTGTTGTGCATTTTTACTTGCCAATATAATAAGTTCAAAACGATCTTCTTAAGTACAATATGGACATAGATCTAAATAAGTGTTGGTGATCCATATGTGTCTTACTGATTAAACTACTTAACTTTTAACTAACTGGTCGAGGGGTTCGAACCCCGTTCTACCTATTAGGATGTGTGCAAGCAAAGAGTATCGACAACTCTCCTGTAATACGTTTAACTCATCATAAACTTCAAGATTCTGGATATTTTATGGTTTATCAGGTGTTCAAACTGATTTGTTTGAAGTGCTGCGGGGTTCCACTAAGCAGGAACGATATTAACATTACGACTGAAGTCACTTTAAATAGCCAGTCTCTAATTTTAAAAAAAGTGAGTCGTTCAGTCTGGAGGTTTTGTGGAGAGTGATTTACTGAGTTGAAATCAATATTTGCCACGGACTAATAAGAGTTGAAGAACTAATGAAAATGTCCCAGAACTAGGCAGCTGTTTCGTCTGACTATGAGGCATCTAAGCAGACTGCACCCAGGACCGCCAAGTGGGAATTAATAGATAAAACGCCAAAGACCTCCAGTGCACATTAGTGCCTTACTTCGGGACGAGGTTTCCCGAAGTTGTAATTATAAGTTGTGATCAGTGAGGAAAAATCAAGTCGTGTGTTACTTAACGACAGCGCTGGGTAGAGGTAGCGCTATACTGCGAACCAAAATAAGTAGGATAATGTGGACCACAGAATTCCGACCTAGCAGCATCGTTTCAAGTATAGGTGGCGGTGGCACATATGAGGATGTCAAAGTAGCCAAGATAGCAAAGAAAGCAAGACACATCTTCCTTCATTAATCTGAAATCAGTGTGAAGATTCATTCCAATCAACTCCACTCAACATAAAGCATGAACAACATCAGCATTTTCAACACTAATGTCACGCCAACTCAGTGCTTCTATGTGATGATTCACAGACTTCGCCGCACGTCACATAAACTATTCCCAACAAACAACTGCACACATACATCATTAACAGATGCCACCTACGCTCACTCCATACTGACACTGAACCTCAGATAGGTAGCCAGGAAGAATAAGCAACAAGGTACTCACTCTGGCTGGCAACCAACCAACCAACAAATATGCAGAATAAGACAATGGAGATGGATTGGATTGGATTGGATTAGACTGGAGATACACTGAGAAGACCATTCGGGAACATCACGCCACAGGTCAGGCCGTCGAATGGAACCCAAACGAGAAACGACGAGTTGGACGTCTGAGGGTGGCACAGAGGAGATCATGTGAGGAAGAAATGAAACCTTGTGGGAAGTCGTGGAGCCAGCTTGAGAATAGTGGAGAGAAGAGAGTGGAATGGCGACATGCTACTGAGGCCCTATATTCCACTAGGAACCCAAGGGACAAATAATATATTAAAAATAGCTTGATGTGCTGACGGGGGAACCTGAAGGTCGTGAGTTGGATCGCTAGTGGACAAGATCCTGGGTACGCACTTCTAAGGAGTTGTATACCAACTAGGATAAAATAGCTGCCCAATGCTACAATGTATTTGATGGTTCTTGAACTGACGTTAGTCCATAATGAATACCCATTTGCGAATTCAGTTGTTTAATGATCATTCATAGATAAAATAAATTTAGCAATAAAACTTATCAAAATCTTACATTTGATGAAAAAAATAAAATTTTTACAGTGTAACTAACCTCCATAGACTTCAGAAGTTGAAGCAAACAGAAATTTCGAATGAGTACGCCGAGCTAAGCCTGAAACAGCAAATATATATAATGAGTTTATAACTAATGCATTTAGATACCTGGTGTTTTTCATTGTATGCGATGAAATTATATTAAGCATAGTAGATTTAAACACTGGAACTCTGTTATAATTTACATCTACTTCTACTCAAAAAGGATTGAAATATATTTTCGATATAAAATTTTAATGTTATGATGCACAGTTGAGAGAATAAACGATAATACTTAACGATTGATAGTCTAAGGGTGAGACGATTCAACCGAAGTGATTTGTAAAGAGAAATCATATGAGTTTATAGTATCACGAGGTGAAAACTTTTATCAGCTAAAATAGGAAATTAGAAATCATATCTCTAATCGGTATTGACTTCATTTATAAACATATACTTAACCGTTAGTATTCTACAACGAACTAATCGACTTCTGTTGATGTAGTACCTCGATATTGCCTGATTAATTAATGTGTTATAATTTGCTTAGAGATAGCTAACAGTAGAATTCATGACGCATGTTTCGCCCTACCTGGCACTCGTCAGCTGGATGTATCTGCACTTTAGTGAGTGATGCTGTTCCCACTGAGACTCAAGTCCACAACCCCCCCCCTTGCTCAAAACCTTATATACTAGGCTAATGAGGCACAAGAGCCAACTCTTGTACAACAAGTACTCTTTCACCTGAGTTATGAGAAGGACGAAACGTGCATCCTGAATTCTGTTGCTAGGCGACATTAAGAATAGTATAGTAAATTTAAATGAACTGAGAATTGAACTATCGGGACACTTGACCTAAAAAGAATGATAAATAATGTAGAAAAACGAATGTATAATTTAACATAACAATGGTTGACAGGTTTATTGAAAGTCTATACATCCTATCTAATGTTATATAGAAGACTGACACAATAAACAAAGTTTAACCCTTATTGTTTGAATATATAATGTAAAATTTTAAATCGTCAGCAAGTATTGTGAAATTATTGTAAGTGGACTAAATACAGAAGTTAGCAGACTGCCGTCACCATAACAACCTAAACTGTTTACCTTGTCTATGTAGCTAAGTGCAATAGATTAATAAAACAAAATGAAGTTCCATGATGGCAAAGTAAACAGTTCAAAGATGGAAATTGTAAACCACTGAAACTATGCCCAGTGGCTGCATGTTTAACATCTTGTACTGCATTCTATGAGCTTAGTTGTTTCATCGCTAAGCTTTCATCATCTTTCTAGACAGCGACATCATCCACAGCACTGACTTCACTACAAACTGAGCTGGCAATATCTCTCCATCAGTGACTCAGTAGCTTGCCTTGACCAACTGGTTTGTGTGTGATTGGTTGTTCCCACCAATTGTTGTGTCATTGACTGACTCCATAGATTTTCCTGTTGTCTATTCCTCTCCTTGACCTCACATCTGACCTTACTCTCATTTATCATCTTTCTCAGTGGTTGATAGATTGAGTCTATATCTATACATCTGTTGATTGCCAACTGACTGACTGACTGACCTCAATGACAAGCTTCTGGCAATACTCTCATTTTCTCTGCCTTTCCTCTCTCCAACCAACATTTCTACATTGTCAAAATTGAATTCATATCCATAATTGTTATACACATGCATTGAAATGAGTGATGAAATGTCATGTGTGACGTTTAATGGACACTTGCTCATGTGCTCATGTAGACGAAGGTGACGATGGCGACCACTCTGTCCAATACAGTGTTCACTACAGTTATTCCAGTTGATTTTGTAAATGATATTCGGTTTGCCTTCTTTGCTTGCTACATCCTTTCACCTGCATAATAGTGTTTGGAGGGAATTTGTTCGTTTATGAGCCACACTAATTCCATCAAGTGGTCTCAGTAATCTTGTCCTGATTTATGATATATGCTTTTGTATTATGGTAGGATGATGCGTTTACTGATTTCTGTCGATGACTTTTTAGTTGATGATGTACGGGATAGGCATCTTCTGATGAAGCTTTGTGGGTTGTTTAGACGTGCAGCTTTCATCGTCTTTCTAGACGACATCTTCATCTGGAAACCCAAGTGTACAGGAAGCCAACACACTGATCAACTCTTCAACTACAGTAGCAACAACCCAACAATGCATGCAAACTGTATTCAAAAGAGCGAGAACACACTGCAGTACAACTTCACAGAGAAACGAAGAAAATTGCCTGATTTCTACCTTAAAGAAGAACGTCAAGTAGAGGAATAGCCAATAGGAAAATCTATGCAGTCAATGACACCACAATCAAAGGAAACAACCAGTCACACAAACCAGCTGGTCAGGGCATGCTACTGAGTCACTGACGGAGAGATATTGACAGCTCACTTTATAGTGAAGTTAGTGCTGATGATGTCGTCTAGAAAAACGATGAAAGCTTCACGACTAAACAACCCAGGTCGGAGAACATAATACAACCAGTCAGAATTTGTTCGTTTATGAGCCACACTAATTCCATCAAGTGGTCTCAGTAATCTTGTCCTGATTTATGATATATTCTTTATGCATTATGGTAGGATGATGCGTTTACTGATTTCTGTCGATGACTTTTTAGTTGATGATGTACGGGATACGTACCTTTTGATAAAGTTTCGTGGGTAGCCGTTCTTCTTCACGGTGGACATCAAGTAATTTTCGTCGTTTCTCCGTGAAGTTGTTGTACTGCAGTGTGTTCTCGCTCTTTTGAATAGAGTCTACATGCAACTGATTTTGTGTGTTGGCTTCCTGCACACTTGGGTTTTCAGCTTTCCCGTATTTGTTCTACTGATTAGAACATACAGGAATGGTAGTTGGTTGTTTGACTCCTTCTCCATTGTGAATTTGATGTCACTGAAAACGCTGTTGATCAGCCTATGAGTGTCTTCTATATCATCTTTTTTAATGATGACAAAAGTGTCGTCCACATAGCGAATCCAGAATTTTGGTTTGATCACACGTAGGATGATCGCTTCTAGTCTCTGAATCACTGCTTCTGCAATTAGTCGGGATATCGGTGATCCCATTGGAGTTTCTTTCATCTGCTTGTATATCTTGCCGTTGAGTTGGAAGTATGCTGTCAGACAAAAGTCGATGAGTTCCATCAGACTCCAACATTTAAATTTTGAGCGTTCTGAAAGGTTTGTGTCTTTGTTGAGCACGAGAAACACAGTTTTCTTGACCAATTGGGGTTCGATGGATGTTTATAGTGCTGTGACATCGAAGGATACCATTAATTCGTCGTTTTCTATGTTAATATTTTTGATCTTTTCTAAGAATTCCGTTGATGACTTGATGGAATATCCGCATGATTGAACGATTTGATTCAGTTTTCTCGAAAGTTTTCTTGATATGTTGTATGCCGGAGTTCCTGGAAGTGAGACTATTGGTCGTAGAGGGATGTCTGGTTTGTGTAGTCTCGGTCTGCCGTAGAAGCAATGGAGAACCGGTTCATTCGGTTTCATTATCCATTTGTCTTACTTTGTTATTTCTTCTGCTTTAAAGAAATAAGGTTATAAGTTCAGTCCCTAGCCGGGTCATGAACGCGCAATGCTGGGGAGTCCCATACTGGGACGAAACAGGGGTCCAGCACCCCAAGGTTTCCAATTTCTGTCAATGATGAATACTACTTCAAAAAATAGCATATGATTATCGGTTTTGCAATCTGAAAAAGCTGCGGTTTGGCACACTTGTGTTGTTACTTGTAGTAAGACTGAAAAAGAAATCTGGTCAGTAGGTGCGTCTCATAACCTCGCCTGGTTAACTAGTTCACTAGTTACTAGCCGGTCCGAAGCCCGGGTAAAAAGGGGAGGTTGGGCAGAGGGCTACCAACCCTACACCAGAAAACAAATCTAACCGCTAAACAAACTTCAAAGCACAAACAAAACATAAAAAGTAAAAACAGAATTATTCCTCACTGGAATCGGAGATGCAAAAGGACGCCAGTTGGTGAAAGCCTTCGGGAAGCCAATTAGCCAGGCCGATGTGTCGTCCCACTCTTGATGAAAGCAAAAGTAAGAATGGAGACATGGAATGTCCGCACCATGTATGAACCCAGCAAGGCAGCCCAGATTGCAAAGGGGATGACAAGATATAGCATTGAAGTGCTAGGAACTTGAGAAAGTAGGTGGAATGGAAGTGGAATCTCCACACTGTCAACTGCAGAGTCAATAATCTACTCCAACATTGTCACCCACACGACAAAACACGACACGACAACCACAAGCACACTGAGTTTTCCAGTGGCTATCATGATGTCCCTAACACCATCGAAGGCTCTCATACAGTGAGAACCAATCTCATCCTCCACCATCACCATCATAACAGCAAGCTTCAACTCAAAAGGAACAAAAATCACAATCATACAGTGCTATGCTACGCTACGCACCTACAAATAATGCAGAGCAAGAGAAAATAGAGGAGTTCTACAGACAACTGCAATCAACACTGGATAAGACCTCAGTTGGCGATATCAAAATTCTAATGGGCGACATGAATGCCAAACTGGGAGGGGACAACACAGGAAGAGAACTAACCATGGGTCGAGAAGCACTCGGTGAGGTGATGAACGAGAATGGAGGGTTGTGATTGCAGTCAGGCACTGTGTTCAAGTACAAGGATATCCACAAACCGAGCGACATGGATTTGATTTCACCAGACACCAGGACACACTACACTAAAAATCAGATCCACTTCATCTCAATCTCAAGAAAGTGGATACACAGCCTACTTGACACTACGTCAAGTAGGTGTGCAGATGTAGGTTCACATCATTCACTATCTACTGCAAGGGACCTACCTTCAAAATCAAGTCGAAAACCTTCAAGGAAGTCGGTGATAGACGACCACAGTTCAAGTTCAACACCGAGAAGAAAAACTCAAGCACGAAACTACAAAGGAAACTTCACAGCAGCCATCAAGACAAAATGGGAGGTATTGAGGAACATCCCTGAAGAAACCTGTGTGGAAGAACACTGGAAGTCTTTGAAAGAGATGTGGAGAGAAACCTGCACAACAGTATTAGGAAG